ATTACAGGTATTAATAATAGATATGATAATATCGAGCATAAAATAATTTAAGGAGAATAATCCTGGAAATATATTTCCAGAGGCTTTAAAATTGTTTGTTTTGTTTGTTACTACACCATTTACAAGTACTTGGGTTGAGAGACATTTTTCATGTTTGAAATGCATTAAAATTTATGCATAGTAGAGATTCCATGAAAAATAAACGTTTATCGCCACTTGCCTTACTTTCAATCTAAAAAGATCTTTTCACAGCTCTTCAACAATCTGATGATTTTACTGATATAATCATAAATAATTTTTCTTTATTAAGAGACCGACTCATCAATTTAATATATAAAAAATAATAATTATTTCTCTCAATACTATCAATTTTTAAGTTTGCGTAAATAAATAAAAATAAAATAAAATGATGTACTCCATAGTGACTCCATAGTAATGGATAAAAAAAAATAATAGATAAAATAGATTAATAAAAACTATACTTGTACATTATGTCAATCATTATGTCATTACAACTTAACAAGTATAGCTAGAGACGTGAGAAATATAAAATAACACGCGACCCGTGCTATCCCCAAGTCTCTTCCTATATTTGTACAACTGTACGTTGAATACTGTTATTTTTGCTTTAGTTTTGTCCTAAATATTTGAGCTATGTTTTAAACACAGAGATAACATATATTTACAAACTGGGCTAGGGTATTATTTAAATTAGGGGGGGAGGGAGCAAATAGACGCAACTAAAATTTTGTCGCCTATCCAGTCATACGGGTCACGAGACGCCACTGCTGAAAACTGGTTCCAAGTCAGAGGTGCCATCTATTGTGGGGGGTTGCCATTAAAATACGCGCAATTACGTAATTTCACTCTCATTTTAAATACGAAATGACTCCTAAAACTTTTTTTTACCCAATAGTAAGATTTCTAATTCGAAACATTATTATGTGCCTTGTGTAAAAAATTTGTGTAAAACTTTATATTTTGTAAAAAATAAGATTTAAAATTCAAATTTATACATACAAAAAAATGGAAGTCAAATATACCGGGTGTATCTCAAAGGTGACCCACCCCTATTACATTTTTATTTTTTCAGATAACAAAACGAGATTTGGTATGTTAGTATATGACATAAATTAGGATTTATTGACGTTTTCAATTGTTTTTGGTCACTTCCCGTTTCGCCGGAAATGACTGCAACTTTTGATTTTTAAATGTATAATATTTTAATTAATCTGTATAATTTTTTTTTATTAGACGGAGAGTTAAAAAATGAACATTTTTTATATTGAAAGTATTTCAAAATTTTTAATGGCTTCACAGAGACACGCAGTATCATTTCATATGTCTCTTTCAACGGTAGAATATGAAAGAAAAATCATTGGGTGGCGTTCATAAAAATTTACTGTGGAAAATGCCATATGAAATATAAAACCGCGAATACCTATCTGCGAAACCGTCAAATATTTTGAAATACTCTAAATACAAAAAATGTTCATTTTTTAATTCTTCATCTACTGAAAAAATAATATAGAGGATGTTTCATTTAAAAAAAAAACAAAGAAAAATTATTTTATATTTTGGAAACTTTCCAAAATGTAAAATAATTTTTCGTATCGCAGAATGTTTTATCATAAATGATTTACAATTACCATATTGATAGCAAAGTAAGTACAGACCATCTAATGTAAATACCAAAATATAGTTCTGATTCCAGGACAGCTCTTGTATTTTTAATATTTTTTTTAAGGAAGTGTGAATAATAAATATATTTCTTATTTGTTATTATTTATTATTGTCTCTGAAACTATCGAAATATCAATTATTTATATCTTAGGATTATGTGAAGTGGTCTGAAAGGAAGCCAAAAATGCAATAATATACAGGATTGTTCCGTTTAAAAAACATATCCCGATCCAAACTTTTTTGAACCACCCTATAGATGCTAAAATATTTTTCTGAATACATCCTAGTACATACTTAAAAAAAATTCCAAGTTTTTTATTCTAGAAGCTACAGAGATGCCCGATGCACTATTGCTGGACGCTGTCAGCATCTTTTTAAGTTCATAGCCAACTATGATGTCCATTTAAAAAATTATATTTTTTTATTATTTCTGACAAAAAGAGCAAGCATAGAAAAAAACTGACTACACCACTGGATTGTGCCTAAAATAGTGCCTTAATAACGTTTTTACAGATTTTTATTATTCCGCAAAATAAAAAAGTTATGGGCAATTTTCAAAATGGTAAAAAATTCAAAAAGACCCCGTATCTCAATTGGCAGTGAAAATATCAACAGGCGGTTTACGCCATTAAACATTCCTCAGAAATCGAGCCCATGACATCTATGTCGGTTTTGCTCTATCTAGTCAGGAAATAGGTTTTCTTTGTTAAAACAGACGAATTTCGACCACCCTGTACATTTAGTTGGAAATCTAATATAAGTAATATAATTATTTACTTACCTGTATTTTACCAATGAAATATCAAACAAATTATAGATATAGAAAAAAAAATTGGCAATTCAAACAAGAGAAATCGGAAATTTCATTTGTACCTGTTGTCTACGCGACGAGATGACCTCTCTACTAGCCGGATCTATCACCCATCGATTTAAGACATAATTATACGCTGTTAAAAACCTTTTCGAATTTTCTTTAGATAGATCGATTATTTTTTATTTCTTTCAGTTTCGACTTTCTCGTCACGAAGTTGTCGAAACCTTTTTAAAAAACCATTTAAAAATTATTTAGTCTTAATCATTAGTCTATGCAAAGCAACAGCGGTGGATTTGACATCTGTTAGTTGGTAATTCCGGATGTAAAAAATATTTAAAAAAAGAGTTTATATGAGTGCCACCGTCAAAATTTTGTTTGAATTTGCCAATTTTTTTAGGTTTTCCAGGAGGGCGAATCAATAAAAAAAAATCATATAATTACTTAGTAATTTTTCGTTTATTGAATTTTGAATAATAACATTTTACATCACACTTATTATAGCTTAACTAATAAAATTAATTTTGGTGCGAACAAAAATTTTGCTATATTTCATCCCCTTTAATCACGAAAAAAATGAGTTTTGTTTTAAATATACCAAAATTTTCGTCGTTCTCTTGAAAAAGTTTCACTATTTATATATTTATATATAAATACTCGTTAAATAATATTATAAATTAACTAGAAATTTAGTCAAATAAGTCAACTACTCTAACAGTAATGGCACATTTATATATAACATACGAAAAAACCAGCTGACAGATTGACAATATCCATCACTGTCACTTTTGACGTTCGCGGGCTCTATTTGTGGGCCGCACAAAATCGAACGTCCGGTATCTTATAAAGAGAAGAAATACTTTTAATCAGGCCTAAAACGATATACACAAGTTAAATATTTTATACATTTTATACAATATTTTTTTGATCGCTCCAGGTCGTTGATACAGGGACTTATCAAAAAAGTTCAAAAACAAAGTGAATGTTCCTTAGCCTTCTGAGTTAACAGTATTATCTTACTTTATTTAAATGTCATATTTACACGACCTCTAGCTTGGTACGTTACATGACGTAGGTTCGAATGCTTATGTACAGTAAAATAGTAAATATCGGCGATATGTGTTTGAATGTAATGTGTTACGGGGTGCCTTAACTAGTTATTTATCTTTCTACAAACCAGACGCATTTGCATCAGAGATCAGAATCAGATAGAAGTAGGAAGTAGATTTACTAGCATTTTCGTTAAAACATTATTCGAGAAATATATACAAACTGTAAAATATTCTATAATTGCCCAAATTTGTCCATATTTAAAAAAAATTATCGTACAAATTATGAACTTGTGGCAACTATAAAATATTAATTATACTAAACTTTGACTATTTACGTTGTCTTATAAGAAAAACCTATACAATTTTATTCACATGTTTGATTCTTAATATTTATTAAAATTTTGAAAAGATTAAAAATCAAATAATAGTAGTAACAAATATATTTCATAAAATATCTAGAAATATACAGGGTTATTCACGGAGTATTGTAGCCACACGATTAGATTTTTAGAAGTTGTGAGTGATGTAATCGTTGAAAGACTACGTGCTACAATTTACAATCATTTTTAAAAGGTACAGAGTGTCCCAAATAAATAAAAGATATCAAATTTGTATTTTTTAATGGAACACTCTGTATATTATTACATTTTTAATTTCTACGATTAAAGTAAAGGTAAATTTAATTAAGGTTTGCCGTACTTTACCCTTACAGTTTCTGAAATATTTGAGTTTTTGTGAAAATACAGTAAAAAAATTTTAATGCTTAATTTCTCTAGGCGTATTTAAGTTTTTAAAATCGAATTGTGTACTGAAGTTTTTCTATTTACTAAATTTTGTGTTGCAATAATAAAAATAATACTACTTTATTAATACTACTACAGAGTGTCTAAACATTTATTTTAAATAATTACTAGTTTTAAACGGCAATAACTTGTTTAATTCAAATGGAACACCCTATATATTTTACGAGAATCAGATGCAAAATTTAATTATTGTCTATCAAATTTTGTTATACCATTTTTTACCTATCAACCGTATTACCTTAAATACGCTCAGAGAAATGAAGCATTAAAATTATTGTTACTGCATTTTGACAAAATCGTAAATATTTCAAAAACGATAATATTAAGTGCGGTAAAAAATCTTAATCAAATTTACCTTTATTTTAATCCTAGAAGCTCGAAATTTTATAATATATAGGGTGTTCCGTTTAGAAAAAAAAACAACTTTGATATTTTTTTTATTTTGGACACCTATACCTTTTGAAAATAATTTTAAATTGTAGCTTTAAATCGTTGTCCCCTAACGATTCTCCTATTGAGTCAGTGTCGTAGAAGGTGAATAACCCTGTATTTTAGTTTTTAAATACAGTTATCCTAATGAAAAGAAAATTTTAATTGGTTTGAATTTTTATATATGAGAAATATTACTTAATTCAAAATTTATGGCAGAAAATTAGAAAATTGTATAAAATATTTCTTACATTTCATAAAAAGATCGGCTCAAAAAAAATTAAATTTTAATTTCTCAAAGTAAATCCGGAAATTATAATTACATTGCAAACTTTGAGAACAAAATTAAGTAAATAACTTTTTTACATTATTTATTATCTTTTAATATCATTGGTGTCAAGAAAATATTTTTTTAATTAAATGCAATGCCATCATCTTTTTTTTTTGAAATTTAACTTATCTAGTAGGTATGTACATTTATACAATATTTTTTTGTTTCTTAAAATAATTTATTTATTGGTAAATCAAACTTAAACAGAAATTTGAAAATATCGCCTGTTCTTCACCGTTTTTCAATATTTTTTTATTTCACTATAATTCAACTAATATGGATCTTGTTTATGTCTATCAGTCGTTTATTAAATAAGACTTTAATATAATTCAGTAGTAAGCCAAGCATATTCATCAATAACAGGTTAAAATCATATCAAAATATCTACGAAAATAAATTTGAACTTAGATTTTTATTAGGTTTGTTCCAATACAGAATCACGTACCGTCCTAAAACGGTAATTGTGATCGCTGGCATCGGATTTGTATGCATGTGTCGACTAAAGCTATGAACATAGTGGAGCGGCGAGCAAGCAGCACGATACCGCGTCGATCAAGCCTCGAGGTGCTAAAACATAGTAAAGCGGCGAGAAATAGCGAGATACTTGTGCAATTTTATTATTTTCATTTGCTTATTGATAATTTAAAATGTTAACAGTGGCAAAAATTCTGGACAGTAGTGTCGCAAACATTTGGTTAGATGAAGTTTTCAAAAACCCGAGAAAGTATGGCAAGTTTTTACGAAAATTTGTTGCCACTTCATCTCATAACTTATCTAAAATGTACCGGTTATGGTGATTACTATCTTTCTGATCCTTTAAAATCTCTCTTACAAATACTAAATCTATTAATTTTTGAGAATCTATCATTTTCTACAGCGCGACAGAGCGACAGAGCGACGAAAACAAACTTATTTGAGTCGATCTCGCCGCTTGATCTAACCGCTCGAGCAGATCGCTTTACTATGTTCGCACGTACTTGTCTTCACGGATTTGTTTTGGACGCGATGTCGCGCTGCTTGCTCACCGCTATCCTCGTCGCTCCACTATGTTCTTAGCCTTAGACAGTTCTGTTACTATACCAAAATTAAATGATTTTTTTTCTATCATCTAGCAGTTGATTAACACCGTAATAATAATAATTATTTTTAAAGTCAGTTCCATAAACGACCAATAAGTATTAAAGATAACCAAAATATTTCGTAAACATCTCTAGCGTTTAGCTTTTGTGCGTGGCCGCCAAGTACATATAGTACTGGGCCAAACTGAGCAAGTACACCATGTTACTGTTGGTACCTTTTTCGTAGTTGATCTGCCTCTCTTGCTGACGAGCGTTATCTGCGGCGACCTTAAGCAGGCCCTGGATGTTGCGCAACAGCGTTTCGGTGGATGAAATACCCGCGTCCGGTCCTGGACCGTTAGCGTTGGCAACAGCGCTCGCCAAGGTGGAGTAGTTGAGGGCGGCCTGTTGCGAGTCGCTGCCGGGGGCGGCAGGTAGGGGCAAGTCGCCATCGTCCATATCTGCAACAATAAAATATATTTAAATAAGAGATATTGGTATATTTATGTTACAGTGAAAGTCCGAAATTCAGTGATTATTAACATTCACTAGGAAATGCTATAACAATTACGAACTGGACCAGTGAATATCGTATTTTACAAAAAATGGTCGTATTTTTACCAGTAATTTCATTCAGCACACTTGTAGGAGTTAAGGCTTCTTTACTTCTCTGTATACTATTTTATTTTATATAGATCCCTACATTGCGTTTTGCTCCATCTGTGGTGACGTAGATGAAGGAAGTTTGTGTAGATATACATTTGGCTTGTATATGTTTATGTTAAAAAGATGTATACCAGTTAGTCTACCTCTTGGTTCTTATGTAGATACACTGTATGTAGATGTAGATGTACTTACAAGATTACGATGACATAAATTATATGACACGTAAGCTTATGGAAGAATATCAAAAATGGGGACTCGAGATCAATACTAACAAAACAGAATATATGTGTATCGGAGGAGAACAACAAGACCTAATACTAGAAGAAGGGAAGAAAATTAAGTGCTACACAAAATACAATCATATTATATAGAAGGGCAAATCACAAATGATGGATTGTTGGATACAGCAATTAAAGAACGAAACCAACTTGGAAGGAATGCTATCACGGTATTAAATGGGATACTGTGGGACAGAAGCATAAACAACAGGATCAAAACACTAATATACAATACCATCATCAAGAGTATAACCCCGTGCACCTGTGAAGTGTGGCCAATTAACGAAACAACAAAAAGAATGCTGGAAGCTATAGAGATGGATTTTTGGAGGAGATCAGCAGGCAAATCAAGACTCGAATGGAAGTCAAACATACAATAGTGGATGAGATAAAGAACAGTCAACTCATATGGTACGGGCATGTCCAAAGAATGACAGAAATAAGAATCCCAAAGCAAATAATAAACTGGAAACCTGCAGGAAGAAGAAAATCGGGTAGACCGAGAAGAAGTTGGCAGGAAAGGATTGACACGTTTATGGATGAAAGATCTCTCGGAGACGGTGCATGGAGAGACAGACAGGCATGGAGAGATGGCATCGGAAGACGTAGAACGTTTTAAACCGATTAATATATGTACCTATATATATATATATATATATATATATATATATATATATATATAGATGTGAATGTGTAACCTGAAAGACTCCATTCGTGACTTGGAATGGGACTCCTCCAACGATCTAAGACACTCGAAGAAATTTCTCAGAACTTACGACCGAGAAAGAGATTTAAATATTCCAAAAATATATCCTCAGATTCTCAGGAGGCTTTTAACACGACACTGCCTCCTCAATGAACACCTCAGTAGGTTGAAGCTAAGACACAACAATGAATGCAGATTCTGTGGGGAAAATGAGGAAATACCAAAATACTTCATCAATGAGTGCGCCGAGACGACAACCATTCGTACCATAAACTTTGGTACTACTAATATTGGAGATAGAGACCTAACCACTATAAAACCGTCTCAGATATTGGCTTTTTTCAAAGCCCTGAAACTGTACGATAAGTTATAACTCGAGAAAGGGGGACACAATAGAATATATAAGATCTAATAAATAATATCCCCTCTTCCATACAATTTATATCTACAAAATATTAGTACAAGGAAAATTATCAAGACGCCTTAATTTCATTCCAAATACCTTTAAATGGTTTAAAACGACTGAAACGATTGGAAAAAGTGTTGTATTTCGTAGCAAAGCAATACAGAATAAACAAAATGCGGCCTTTTTAAATATTTTCACACATTTGTCAAAATATCGCAAATTTATATGGAATAAAGTGGAATATCGTGAGTAATGGTATTAAAGAGAACGTTCCCAATAAACATCGCGCCGCACGACGCTGCGGCAACCCGCATTGTCAGTGTACCACTCAGGGGCAATTGAAAACCTACAGTCACGAGATATGAGTTACACTATACTTATACTTATATAGTTTACTTTTCAGCAATAGATTACAAGAATTGTATACCTATAGTTGGGTTCAGATTGTCATTATTCTCAGACAAATAATATAATTATAAAAACCTTGTTTAACCAGATGTAAACTAAACTAAAAATGTTAGGTTGTCACTTTTACAGCTGTATATTACGTAGGTTGCCTTTTAAGTTATTACAAACGCTTGTTTCTTCGGTTGTACTGGACACGTCGCAACCATTCCATTAGAGGACCAAAGAACTGTTAATGCAGAATATCATACAATAATTTGTTTGCCAACGATGAAATAAAAAAAAGAATAAAAAATGCATCATTCGTCATCACGACAGTGCCAGCGCCCACAAAGCAGTCAAACAACTGAATATTTGAAGGAGAAAAAAAAATCCAATTAATGTCTCATTGTCCGTATTCGCCCGATTTATCGCCTAATGACTTTTTCTTGTTCCCCACTGTCAAACAAAAGATGCGCAGACAGCGATTTTCATCACCTCAAGAAGCTGTTGAAGACTTTCAAAACCATGTTTATACCATAGACACCACCTACCTGCTGAGCCTTATCCAAGGTCAGAACTTCAATGTAAGGACATCGAGTCAGGTCCTCACAATAGGAGTTGACCTCAAATCTAAGGAGGCAATAGAAAAAGAGGGATATATCCTTTATTATAGATACGGGACAACATCGGTATCGGGTATAAGGAGAGACCAAGTTAAAGAGGTGGAGAAACTGGAGACAGATCCTTCAGCATCCACCTCACGGGTTCCTCAGCCGGTGAAGAGCGGCAGGGAGGGCCAAACTCTAACCGTGGAAGGGTGTGTACCCTCGGAGGAAGAACTGTTGTCAGAGGAGGATGGGAAATACCCTGTCCCCTCTACAACAGGGGTATGATGGGTTATAGATTGTGTGATAACGGAAGGGGGGCATAATAGATCTTTAAAGTCGTCTTACTCATTCTACATTCTACATTCTACATGTTTATACCATATCAGCTTCAGAGGGGAAAAATGTTTCCAGAATTGGTTTGAGCGTATGCAAAAATCTATAAATTAAGGGCAAATATTTCGAAAAGCAATAAACCACTTTGTTTCCGAATTGTAATTAGTTTACTATACATCATTCGGTACAAATAATCTTGAAAAGCTTTCTTTTTTCATTTAATAAAATCAAATAGAAATATACAAAAGTATGTAATTTTCTATTCTGTCTTCAAAGCAAACGATTTAACTGAATAACAAATATTACCCTCTGCCCCAGGCCACAGCATAAATCAAGATCGACCACAAATGACCAGTGCGAGTGAGGGACCATGAAACAAAATGAAATATATGTAGTTAACTTGTTTGTTTAGCTATCCATGGGAAAGAAGAATTGGGAGAAGGAGAGGCAAAGAGAAGGAATGTTAATGTGGTAAAGATAGATGGCCGGCTGACATGCTCTCTGTTTTGTTTTGATGGCTCACTCGACCGATGCAACGACCGAATGAGATTTATCGACGGTCTAAATCACCCGCGTGCAACGAAAACTTGTTAATACTTTTATGTTTTAATCCTGATCTGCTTATTTTTCTTCTTATCCAACGAAGAATCGTTTTAGGGCAAAAGGTAACCTTGGAAACTAGTCTGTACGGTTGCTTTTAATATAGAATTAGAGCCTTGGAGGAAAATAATTATGCCAAAAAGCGGATTTAAATACGGAAATCCTACTAACATCAGAGAAATTGGTCGTTTTGAAGTGGTCGAAAAGATCAATTACCGGTGACCAAGAAATCAAACGCAGACTAGCAATAGCTTGTAACTCGACAATAAAACTAAGTCGAATATGGAAAGACACTGATCACTGACATCTCAGAGCAATAAAGTAAAATGATATTGACATCTCTGAGTAACAAAGTAAAATTACTGAGAACGTTGATCTTTCCTATTGCGACTTATACATCAGAGTACCCTGAAAACTACCCAGAAAAGTAGATGCTTTTGAAATGTGGGCTTAGGCCAATAATTCTTCTCTAGAGAAGAATATTTCATATAGAACATTGGACCGACATTTCAATTCTAAAGCTTGATTTTCATGTGTCCGTTATCAGTTGATACGATGGTCCGGTATTAATTTTATTGGTTGACTTTAAAGACTTCAATTGGTTAGAAACGGTTAACCAATCGAAGTGTTTAAATTCAACCAATAAAATTAATATCGTATCATCGTATCGCCAATCAAGCTTAAGGCATTTGAAAAATCCCACAACTCTTTCAACCAAGATTGGAAAGTGAAAGATTGGAGAACGATTGAAAAAAATCATCATCGAAAGGAAGATTATACTGGCAAACGACCAAGAGGAAGTTCTCCGACGAGGAAGGAAGGACTCGAACCAAACTAAATAAATTATTGGTCGCGGTCTTCAAGAAGCTTCTCTAGTAGTGCAAGATAGAGATGCATGGAGAACAACAATCTGCGCAATTGAGAAGATTTAAAATTTAGAGTTTCCCACCAATCATTCAAACTAGCCGAATCCCTCTAAGGATGTATTCCGTTGCTTACCTTGGTTATGGTTTTATATGGGTTTTATGTTCCGTTTCTATCGGTTTCCCGAAAGTTTTCTTATTACGGAACACGGTTCCTGAAAAATTCTGAAAAAAGCTGGTTTTTCTGGTTTTGTTTGTCAATCAATGTCACTTTAGTGACAGAAATCAAGCAAATATTGAAAGTTCGAGTGAAATTCTCATTTAATTTCTAAAATTTGTTATATTTTGTATTTACATCCAAAAGCAATGAAGGTATAGGACCATTTAAACTTATCATGCAGCCATTGTTTCTTAAAGTCAGGAACATTTAAAGAAAACATGAAAAACAAGACAAGTAATCGTGAATATTTTGTAAACTATAAAAATATAAATATTGATTAGATTTGTTTATTTATTATTGATCTGTTTTAATATTGGACCTTCACATGAGCTGTCTAACGAGTTTAACAGTTGATTAATACAGTACTTTTCAATATTAAACTCCATTGAAAAGAAGAAGCAAACATAAAAGCAGAGAATAGGTACCATTGCGATAAAAAAAAGTAGTACAAGAATTAGTATTCCCAGATAGAACTCCTGGTCTATAAGGATATTTGAATTATATTGAATTTTTTGGATTTAGCCAACAACACTGTTTTTTTGTTTATCCCTAATGCATTTGCAATGTCCCTTATGGGAACCCCATCCCTTAATCGAGTAAATATAATAGATTTTTGCTCAGAAGTGACACTGACACAAGAATATAGACTAGCAGATTAAATCATATTTTGTTGTACTACTTTTTTTGATTGCAATGGTACATTAAAAATGCATAAAAGATAAATTTTATAATAAAGGTATTGAAATTTAGAAAACGTCAACATTTGACATTTCCAGTATTTTACCAAACCGTTCCGTATCAAACCGATGTTTTTCAGGAACCGCTCTTTACCGTAGTTTACCGGTCTGGTTCGCCTGGTTTTGCAACGGAATACAGCCTAAGTTAGCGATCATAAAATTATGTCAATAAGGTGGGAAACTTCACCAGAGCAGAGAAAGGCGAAGAAGTTCATAGTAGAACATTCGCCAAAAATCATTGCAAACCTGATAAGAAAAGACAGAAAGACCGTCAAAATTGTATGTGTATTGAGTCTACTGACAGGGCATTGTAAGCTGAATAAGCATCTAAAGCTAATGTGATTGACGGACAGCTATATGGAGGGCTAATAAACCGAGGTTTTTATATCAATCTTGATAATTCTTCTAGTCTGAGTGCGTCCCAGTGCTGATGATGCTAACATGGTTAGCGAAACGCGAGTTTAGTGTTTAAAACCGAAGTGTTTTGAGTGCATTTTGGTGAATTGGTGTTTTATTTTGCTGGATTTCTTTACCAAAAGAACTATTTCATAAACTGTTTAGTTCTATTGAGAGAAAATAGCTCACCTTGATCCTTATCGTCTTCGTCGTCCGGCTCTGATATGTTATCGTCTTCGTCTTCCTCCACGGCCGATCTGGGCGACCGCGGCGAAGGTGGTACATCGGGACCGTCAGCTTCGCTGCCCGAATGGTCGTTTTCGCCCAGTGAACCCGCGCTGCCGCCGCCGCTTTTCGACAGGTTCAAAACGGGACTGTGTTCGATGGGTGACGCGGAAACTGAAAAGAAAAGAGGAAAATAGTAAGAAATTTCAAAAAAATTTGATATAAAATTAAGATTATTTAGTAATATGTATGTTTCTTATGTTCAGTTATTATTTAGTAACACGTATATTCAGAAACACAGTTAGCATGGTGTATTATGCTAATGATGCAGCCATTATCGCGGAGACAGAGGACGATATGCAGAGACAGTTTCATAAATTCTATCAAGTAAGCGGAGAATTAAATACGATTATCTCTACAGAAAAAACTAAATGTTTAACTTTCTCTAAAGAACCGGTAAGATGCAAACTAGTAGTACAAAACAAAATTATTGAGCAGGTAGCACAATTCAGGTACCTAGGAATAGATATGTCGCACTACCATGATCCAGAAAATGATCTGAGAAGCCAGATAAATAGAATAACGGCCATGTCAGGATGTCTGAGGCAAATAGTGTGGACAAACCCCTTCATGCGAACTGACAGCAAAATTAAAATTTACAAGACCTGCATCAGACCAATAATGACACATGGCATAGAAATTCGAGAGGAAACAAACAAAACCAAAAGCATGTTAAGAGTCGCTGAAATGAAGAACCTAAGAACCATAATGGGGAAGACTAAAAGAGACTAAAGAAGACTAAAAGAGAATTAGAAACACAAATATCAGACAACAATGTGGAATACAGGACGTAATGAGATGGGGTAGGCAAAGAAAAAGACAATGGTTGGCTGAATTTATTGGCTAAATTTATTGGCTAAATTTATTTACCAAAAATTGGCATAAAACTTGTCAAAATTAATTCTAATTATATAAGGATTAAAAAAGTATAGACACATAAATAAATTTCGAAAAAATGATTTTATCTCGAATTTTAAACTACACCATTTAAAAATCAATTTTACTCAATATAAAAATAAATAACATCCTTCTTAAGGCCAACTGGCTGTAAGCGATATTAAAAAATAAAGAAGAGTACGGGCCCAGTAATGACGTCTAGACCTTGACCTCGGCAAAATTATCATCGATTCCCCAGCCGCCTTTGACGCTGATTTTTTTTCGATCGTATGTTAGTTTTGACATCATTGAAGTCTGTTTTATAGCCTGTGTCCCATGAGTGTTGATATATATTATTACTTATAGAGCCTGATAATGAAGCCTATAAGGTGGCTTACAGTATTTCTATTTAGATTGAGAACCTTTTTACCTATTTGTGCAGAAAGTTATATATTGTTGGTTAGAAGGATTTTACCCTAAGGTTAAATACTTTCATAATTGTTGATCTCTTCATTTAAGAGACATTTTCTGACACAAATCAACGGTTGGTTCCATAAAATCGGCGATAAATAGCATGGCAATATTTCTTTAGAATGAATCAAGTTACATATTTCTTACAATCTAACAGCTTCATCAGCACAGTTCCAATCATTATGCATAAATATTTTCTTAGTTTTAATTATACTAGAAGTCCTGTATGCATAAAAATCATCTCTATATTTCATTAAATTTAGTTCCGTAGAGACTTGGACTAACCAACAAATTAATGGTTATACTTTTTATAGATGAAAAAAAAATTCTCTACTGAAAAAAAAATTATTGCTTCTTAATCTATTGCTTATTAAAAACAAATATTATTTGGCTATATTTTAATCGCATGCATATTAAATTGAACCTCAAATATAATTATAATTATTAACGTTTCGCTATATACAGGGTGGTCCAAACTGTATTCCGGAAACTTCAGCAGCACATTCTGCAGATAAAAATAAGTAAAAAAGTTTGTATAAATGTATGTCCTAAGATGCTTAGTTTCAGAGATACAGGGTGTAGAAGTTTCATTTTTATTTCAATTTTTTCTAAATAATTTCTGAAGTAACTTCATTATTTGGATGAAAATTGGTGTCTAGGAGTTTTTTGACATGAAAAATTTGATTTTGATGCCAATATGACTCCCACTAGTAGAGGGCGCCACCTACATGTGTTTTAACTATTTTGAAGCGTAATCACTTTTTGTCCGTATCTGTATAAAACTACCCAGTGAAAGAATATACATCTCTGTGACTTTTTACGTAAAAAATATCTCTTTGTAAAAATCGCTACGAGCAACCGTTCTTAAGATATTTAGAATGGAAATGGTCAATACATGTCATTATTGACGAAAAATAAACACGTTGAGTTAGATAGTTATTTCACTGAAATAATAAATTTGGAAAATTTGTATTTTTTTAAATTAATCATAAATTTTTCTACAAAAAATGATGGTAAAACCGTTTTTTTTTAACTTTTGGCACAAAAACATTTCAAATTTATGATTTCAGTCTAATAACTATTAAATCAACATGTTTAATTTATGTCAATGATGCCAGGTATTGATAATTACAATTCCAAATATCTCGAAAACCATTACTCGTAGCGATTTTTACCAAAAGACCTTTTTCACCTAAAAAACGTCGTAAATGTATATTTTTTTACTCAGTAGTTTTATACAGGTACGGACGAAAAGTTATTACTCTTCAAATCGGTTAAAAATATGTAGGTGGCGCCCTCTACTAGTAGGAGTTATATTGACATCAAAATCAAATTCCTCATGTCAAAAAACTCCCAAACACCAATTTTCATCCATATGTTGAGGTTACTTCAGAAATTATTTGGAAAAAATCGAAATAAAAATGAAACTTCTACACCCTATATCTCCGAAACTAAGCATCTTAGGGCATACATTTATTCTAACTTTTTTACTTATTTTATCTGCAGAATATGCTGCCGAAGTTTCCGGAATACAGTTCGGACCACCCTGTAGACACTTGATTGTATATTAGGGAAGACAAGGGACATACAGTTCAATAAGTCATTAATAGTATATTACGTAATGAGTATTATATAAACATATTATTACACACTATTGGACAAATTGCCAATAAGTTGAGCATCAAAATAATTTACAGCGATTTCCCTTAGCCAACAATTTACCTATAAAATAAAAATATGTTTTCATTACACTTCATTACTCTATCGTTAATGCTTCCTAACTTAGGAGGGAGTAGGTATCGTCTTTAATTTGACCACTCTTTACAAACGTAGCTGAAATAAGGTCAGTCCTAAGAAAGGGCTATCAAGTGCAACCTGAACAAAGTCAACCTGTATCAAGGAGTCTTTGATGCAGACTCTACGATAAAGATCATAAGACGGCGGAGCACATAATAAGTCACTGCCAGGTTCTGGATCGCAAGCGATCTTGTATTTGGAAAAAGAAGGCTAGAACAGGGGGAACTATGCTCCCATCCTATTAAGGACCTTCACAAGTCGGTGCAGGGTACAGAGATAGAAGAGAATAGGCCTATTAGGTTGCAGTGTTTCCGGCAGATGACAGCCCCTTATTATTGGAAAAAAAAGTAAGGGCAAAAATACATGATTTTTATAATCATAAAGCGCATGCCAGCAACTGAAAGATTCGTACTACTAAAATGTGTGACCTCTCGTTGCTACTACGAAAGTACTCCAGAAGATAGCACGCTAGGAGATCGCAAGATGTTAGAATTTTCTGTGCAAATAGAGTATTTTTATCGGCTTGAAACTGTGTGGGAACAACGTTTGATAGTTGCCAGTATCCAGTATAACTTCATATATGCACATGTGACAACCAAAATGCCTCTGCTTCAACTATTTTTAATTACTGTCACAAAATAGCTCGTGGAGGTGATATAAAAACTAATCATTTATTATGCAATATCAGGAACACGAATGTTTGTGAAATAAGTCATCTCTATTATATAGAAATAAAATAGCCAGAGACAACGCTTTGTGCTCCAACCTGAATGATAAAAATTTAATAAAACTAATCAAAAATAAAATAAATCAGTCACTATCAACTGTACTGTGCTATTGTATGTATGTATTTTACTAGAATATGTATTTTGGGACGTCCATAGACAAGTAGCTGGCATACCAGTTACTGGTCATTGCTGCGCTATCGAAAGATGCGTAGACCTTATCTTAACTATCGGAAGCAAGAAATAGGCAGCTTCTCCGATAGCCAAGCAGCATTAAAGCGATCAACCCAATAGCCATCAATTCGAAGTTGGTCAAAGAATACCTAGGGAAGCTGAACAAATTAGACAAAGAAAATAAAGTCCTTCTGCTCTGTGTGTCTGGGTCAGCCCACCAAGTCATAGAAGGCGATAAAAAAGCAAACGATCTAGCTAGAAAAGGAGCGAACATTCCACTAACTGGATCAGAACCGATCTACTTCCCAAGTGGAAACCAACTTAAAGCGGAACTCAAGAACCCGAAATGAACGAAATCAAAAGCGGAATTCAAGAAGACATTATCCAAAACCTGCAATGGGAATCCTCCATCGGTATAAGACACTTGAAATAAATATCTCAGAGGACTTACGACCCAGACAAAGAATAATATTCGGATTGTCATGGGGTTTTTAACAGGATAATGTCTCCTTAATAAACACCTCAGTAGCAATTGCAGATTTTGTGGAGAAAATAGACAAACACCAAGACACCTCATCACTAAGTACGCCGAGATGACAAAAACATCTGTGCCATAAACTTTGGTACGACAGATATCGAAGATGGAGAACTGACCTATGTAAAACCGTCTCAGATATTAGCTTTTGTTGGCACAGTGATTAACCCCTTCCCACTCTTCTACATTCTACATCCCCTGTATCAGATCTGGTCAGACATTCACAAAAACGTTGCATGTCAGCCACTATAGTACATATTTCCAAAATATAAATGTTTAAACAGATATATCTCAATTTACTACAGTTTTATCGAGACACTTGTTATTTTTGCGTACGGATTCCAACCCTTTGGACAGACGTATTTTCGGTAATAAGTTAAATCCTCGACCGGCCATAAATCCACGTCCGGCGGATTGATGCGCCCGCTTCGGCAGATTCGCTTGTATTTTCTGCATATGCGTATTTAATTGTGGCGGCCGGCGCCGAAATTTATCGCCCCCCGGACCGGTCCGGCCATCTCAAATCCCACTTTTAC